GAGACAGAGTCTCACTCTCTTGCCTGGGCTAGAGTGCTGTGGCATCAGCCTAGCTCACAGCAACCTCAAACTCCTGGGCTCAAGTAATCCTTCTGCCTCAGCCTCCCGAGTAGCTGGGACTACAGGCATGCGCCACCATGCCTGGCTAATTTTTTCTATATATATATATATATATATTTAGCTTTCCAGATAATTTCTTTCTATTTTTTGGTAGAGATGGGGTCTCACTCTTGCTCAGGCTGGTCTAGAACTCCTGATCTTGAGCGATCCACCCGCCTCGGCCTCCCAGAATGCTAGGATTACAGGCGTGAGCCACCGCGCCCGGCCGGACCTGATGGTTTAACTGGTAAATTCTACCAAACATTTGAAGAAGAGTAAATACCAATCCTTATCAAACTTTTCCAAAAAAATAAAAGGGAAGAGAACACTTCCAAACTCATTTTATGAGGTCACTATTATCTTGATACCAAAGCCAGACAAGGACACTGCAGGAAAAGAAAATTACACACCAATATCCCTGATGAACATAGATGCAAAAACCTTCAACAAAATACTAGCAAACCAAATTCAACATTGAAAGAATCAGATACCATGATCAAGTGGGATTTATCCCTGGGATGCAAGGATGGTTCAGTATAAACAAATCAATAAATGTGATATACTGCATTAACAGAATGAATGACAAAAATCATATGATCATCTTAATAGATGTAGAAAAGCATTTATTAAATATCCTTTCAGGATAAAAACTCTCAACAAATTATATATAGAAGGAATGTATCTCAACACAATAAAGATCATATATGGCAAGCCCACTGCTAACATCATACTCAATGGTGAAAAACTGAGAGTTTTCCTCTAAGATAGGAACAGGACAAGGATGCCTACTCTTGCCACTTCTATTCAACATATGGTACTGGAAGTGCTAGCCAGAGTAACTGGGCAAAAAAAATAATAATAATAATAATAAAAAGCATCAAAATTGGAAAGGAAGGGGTAAAATTGTCTTTATTTGCAGATTACATGATCTTATATAGAGAAAATCCTAAAGACTCCACCAAGAAACTGTTAGAATAAGCAAATTTGGTAAAGTTGCAGGATACAAAATCAATATAAAAAAATCAGTGTACTTCTATACACTAACAATAAACTATCCACAAAAGAAATTAAGAAAATAATCCCATTCATAATGGCACCAAAAATAATAAAGTACTTAGAAATAAATTCAACCAAGGAGGTAAAAGATCTATACACTGAAAACTGTAAAATATTTATGAAAGAAATTAAAGAAGACACAAATAAATACAAAGATACCCATGTTCATAGATGAGAAGAATCAATATTGTCAAAATGTCCATACTACTACTCAAAGCAATCCACAGATTCAATAGAATCCCTATCAAAATTCCAATGGCATTTTTCACAGAATTTTTTTTAATCCTAGAATCTTATGGAACCACAAAAGACCCTGAATAGCTAAATCAATCTTGAACAAGAACAAAGCTGGAGGCAACACACTTCCTGATTTCAAATTACATTACAAAATTATAGTAATCAAAACATTATAGTACTGGCATAAAAATAGATACATAGACCAGTGGAACAGAATTAAAAAGCTCAGAAATAAACCTATGTGTATATGGTCAACTAATCTTCAACAAAGACACCAAGAATACACAACGGAGAAAAGTTAGTTTATGCAATAAATGGTTTGGGGAAAACAATATACACATGAAAAAAATTAAATTGGATTATTATCTTGCACCACATACAAAAATTAACTCAAAATGGATTGAAGACTAAGACCTGAAACCATAAAGCTCCTAGAAGAAAACATAGTGGAAATGGTCTTGACATTGGTCTTGGCAATAATTTTTTGGATATGACACCAAAAGCACAGGCAACAAAAACAAAAATAAATAAGTTGGACTGTGACAAATTAAAACGTTTCTGCACAGCAAAAGAAACAATCAACTAAATGAAAAGGTAACTCATGAAATGGAAGAAAATATTGGCACACCCTATATCTGGTAAGGGGTTAATATCCAAAATATAAGGAATATAAGTCAATACAAGTCAATGGCAAAAACAAAAGCAAAAAACTGAATAACTTGATTAAAAATGGGCGAAAGACCTGAATACACATTTTTCCAAAGAAGATATAGAAGCAGCCAACTGGTTTATGAAAAGGTACTCAACATCACTAATCATCAGAGAAGTGCAAGTCAAAACCACAATAAGCTATAACCTCATACCTTTTAGGGTGGGTATTATCAAAAAGTCAAAAGATAACAAGTGCTGGTGAAAATGTGGAAAAAAAGGAACCCTTAAACATTGTTGATGGTAATGTAAATTGGTACAGCCATTATGGAGAACAGTGTAGAGGTGCCTCGAAAAATTAAAAATAGCCCAGATGCAGTAGAGTGTGCCTGTAGTCCCAGCTACTCGGGAGGCTGAGGTGGGAGGATCTCTTGAGCTCAGGAGTTCAAGACCAGCCTGGGCAACATCACGAGACCCCATGTCTAAAAATATATATAAATAAGTAAATATAAAAATAGAACTACCATATGATCCAGCAATTCCACTCCTGGATATATAGATAGTCCCCAACTTACAATTGTTTAACTTTTGATTTTTCAACTTTACGATGGTTCAAAAGCAATACGTATTCAGTAGAATCTGTACTTTGAATTTGATCTTTTTGTAGGATAGCAATATTCAGTAAGATACTCTCTTGGGATGCTGGGCAGCAGTGAGCAGCAGATCCCAGTCAGCCATGCAATCACTAGGATAGACAACCAAAATTCTACAGCATACTGTGTTGCCAGATGATTTTGCCCACCTACAGGCTAGTGTACATGTTCTGAGCACATTTAAGGTAGGCTAGGCTAAGCTATGATGTTCGGTAATTAGGTATAGTAAACACATTTTCGACTTACAATATTTTCAGCTTACAATGGATTTATCTGGACATAATGGATCTTAAGTCAAGGAATCTACTTAAGATTGTAAATCAAGGAGCATTTATATATCAAAAGGAAATGGAATCAGTATCTTGAAGAGATATCTGCACTCTCACGTTCATTGCAGCATTATTCACAATAGCCAAGATACAGACTCAATCTAGATACAGACTCAGTCTGTTGACAGATGAATGGCTAAAGGAAATGTAGGAAATACAATCATTCCTCAGCATCCACAGGGGATTGGTTCCAGGACCCCTCGAGGACACTAAAATACACAGATGTTCAAATCCCTTATATAAAACAGTATGGTGTTTGCATACATCCTCCTATATACTTTAAATCATTTCTGGATTACTTATAATACCTAACACAATATAAATGCTATGCAAAGAGTTGTTATCCTGTGTTTCTAAATTCGTATTATTTTCTATTGTTGTCTTACTTTTTTATTGTTTTTTTCCAAATATTTTCAATCTGAGGTTGATTGAATCTGTGGATGTGGAACAGTGGATACAGAGGGCCAGCTGTATATACAATGGGATATTATTCAGCCTTAAAAAAAGAAAGAAATTCTACCATTTTTGACAACGTAGATTAACCTGGAAGACATTACGCTAAGTGAAATAAGACAAATACTGCACGAGACCAACACTTACAGAAACAGAGAGTAGATGGATGGTGGCCGGGTATCGGGAGGTTGGAGAAATGAGGAGATATTGACCAAAGGGTACAAACTTTCAGTTGCAAAATGAATAAGTTCTGGAGACCTAATGACAGCATGGTGACTATAATTAATAATACTGTATTATATACTTGAAATCTGTTAAGACAGTAGATCTTAGGTATATTCTCACCATAGGAAAAAGAGGTAACTTTGTGAAGTGATGGTTATATTAATTATCCTGATTGTGGTAATCATTTCACAACGTATACCTCTATCAAAACATCACATTATACACCTTAAATATATACAAATCTTGCTTGTCATTTATGTCTCAGTAAGAATGAAAGATTATTGATGAGAGAAACATCAATAATCTCTAAAAAAGGTAAGTGAAGTAAATTTGCCAATTAAACAAATTATCAGCTATATTCTTTATAACAAGACATAATACTAAAACTTAAAAGGACACCAAGAGGCTGATAGCAAAAAGAGGAGAAAATATGCAAAGCAAATAACCAAAAGAAAGCTGGCATAGCTGTATTACTATTAGGGGGGAAAACAGACCTAAAGTCAAAAGCATTGTTACTAGGATAAATAAGATCATTAAATAATGATAAAAAAATTTGCAAAGATGTTATAATAATCTTGAACCAATATACATCTACAAACAGTCTCTAAATATTTAAAGCAAGAATTGACAAGCTTACAAGAAAATGTTGGCAAATCCCCAATCATAATAGAATTTTATATACCATTTTCAGTAACTGACAAATCCAGCAGAAAAAACAATAGTAAGAATATAGAATATTTGGACAATGCCTGGAACACACAGAGAATTCTGTAGATATTCTTTCCAAGCACACATGGATCTTCCCCCAAACGGCAGGCAGCATGTTATGTCATAAAGCAAATATTAACAAATATCAAAGAATTGGTGGCCATGTTCTGTGCTCAGAAAAAAATATTAGTTTCTAGCTATAAAGTAGATACTTTTTTAAATTCTAAGATAATACTATGACCAACTTTGGATAATAAATATAAAAAACATAAAATGGACAATTTCCTAGAAAAAAAATCTTTTTTTTTAAATTCAGTCTCTGTAGAGACTGTCAAAAATTGCCAGTGCCAACTATGTTGCAAGGAATCATGGCAGTGTATTGGGAAAAGTTTTCAATTAGCAATAATTCACACCTCGGATAAACCTCATTGGCTATAATACTGCCACTGCACAAAGCTAGAAAAAAAAATTAACTTACCAAACACCTGAAAAGATGTGGGAAACCTGACCAGACTAAAGAAATTAAAATAGTGCTCAAAAATCTGCAAACTTCCCCTCAAAAACTCAACTACAGAAGGTTTTAAAAGTGAGTTCACCATACCTTCACGTCGTCATCCTGAATCACCACGTCCTTCTTCAGGATTTTGATCGCGTACAGTTCTTCTGTTCCCTTCCTGTCAGCAAGCATCACCTTTCCCAACCTCCCCTTCCCCAGCACCATTAGGAAATTGAAATCGGTGAGCTTCACTCTGTCAAGGTTGTTGGAACGTTGTTTCCTGTCTTCCGAAGGACTGATGACTTTATTCCCAGCAGGGCCAAGCTCGGCTTTCTCAAATTTCTGCCTGAGCTCCATGTTTCCTTCTTCGTCCCCTTCCGGAATGGGCACATTGTAGTACTCACCTTCTTCCTGGTTAAGCAACTTGTACCATCCACTGGCTGGCATTTTCATTAGCTCCGAAAGGCCAAAGGAAAGGGATCCCATGAAGTCATTTCTTGTCGTCCGATCCCAATCCCAGACTTGTACAGACAGTCGTCGGTCTTTGTCTGAAGGTTTTAATTTGAATGTAAAGGACTCGTTCCACTGGGGGTTCAGTGTGGAGCGGATGGTTTTGGTTTTCTGTTTGCTTTCGTTCTTGGGATCAGGAATAAGTTTCAGCTTCGCGTAGGGATCCGAAAGCCCATCTGGATCCATAGGAATGAGATGTTTTGCATCTCGTACCGTGACGTGAAGCTTTTCATCGGTGACCTCAGCCTTCAGGTGAATCGCCCCCTCTTCTCCGTGTGATCCATTCTGCAGAGGCTGGGGACGTTGATTACGCACTGCTTGTGAACATTCATGTCGCAGGTGTCACATTTCATCCCTTGATGGATAAGTCCATACAGCAGTGACCCGCAGTGATCGCAGAAGGTGGGGCTCCCATAGGTGTGGATTTTGAACTTGTGCTTGCTCCTGGGGTCATTAGTGTCGGGTCCCTTGTCCGCACCCGGGCAGGAGAAAGTGACAAATTCATGGCACCTCTTGTGAACCACAAAACAGCAAACTTGGCACTGGAAGCCTTGTTTCCCAAACCCCCAGATGAAGTTTGTGCAGTGGCTGCAGAAGGTGGGCTGCTTGAATAAGCGGGCGATGAATTTATGGTCTTTCACCTCGTGCACATGCTTCTGCCTCAGCGCCCCTTTGCGGGCGAAGCGGTTGGCCACGTCCTGAGACGCCGTGGAGTTGCTGGCCGGGAAAACGTCAGCCATGGTCCCCCCAACCACCTCTTGTCTCCGCCGGGGAGCCGCAGCCGGGGAGGAACGGGGTGGGCGGGGGAGGGGCAGCAGGGCCCCTGGATATAAAGAGGAATGGTTACAATAGGAGATATAAATTTAGCGATCTTCATTATAAAAGTAGCATTAAATACGTGGGAATGTATGAAATCATTTACAGGCAGCTTCTTTTGCAGCATTTTAATAAAACCAGTAAACTAAATAAAACATATTTAGAGCTAGCCTAGGGTAAGTCAAGCATGTGACCGCCTACACATTATATTTTGAGCATCCTTGGCTCCTGCCCCCCAATTTTTGCCACATAGAACCCTTACGATGATATCTGAAATTCCAACATTAATCCTCTTCTTTGGATTCAGAAAGAAGGCAAATATCTGAGATTCAAAATTGTGAGCCACTGACACTTCATATTTGATCAATTCTCCCGTCTTCTCGATACTCTCTTGCATATTGCAAGATCAAATATACTTTTCAGGGTAAGAAGGAAAGTCTACAGAATGGGGAACACTGAGCAGAAAAGATGAGAACACATAAGATCTGAGATGGCACTGTCCTAATCTTTGGGTCTTTGATGAAAATGCAAGAGTTTTCTCTACAACTTTAACACAAGATAGGGGACAAGACAACAGCATGCAACAACAGAAGGAAGAGACTGCTAAACATGATGTGTTTGATTTTACCAAATAGGACAGTGGTTAAAGTTAGAATTTAATTTACAAGTTCTGGTGATATATAATATCACCAGATATATAATCTGATATATAATCTGATATATAATAAAACATTCCCACTAACACAATGATACTTAGTACTTCAATTAGCCTACTGTTAGTTCTATTTTAATTAAGTTGAAAATAAACTGTGTTTTGTAACTACTATTTTCCCCAATACTACTTGTTTTTGTAATTGTAGATTTCACTTCTGTTCACTGCTTGTTATTTCCTCTACCAAGCATGAGTTTGTTCTAGCTATCAATTGCACAATTTCACTTCCTTAAAAGAGTCTGTAGGCCGGGCGCGGTGGCTCACGCCTGTAATCTTAGCACTCTGGGAGGCCGAGGCGGGTGGATCACTCAAGGTCAGGAGTTC